TTTTTTAACTCTTTAGACAATTTGTCCAACGACTTTTACTGATTTTATACCTCCTATCGGCTTGAATTGGAAAGGTTTTAACAAACTGTACGATCGCGGTCTTTCAGTTAAAGGGATCAGTTATGATCTTTTTGTGTGTCGATTGCAGCATTTTTAATCTCCTGTTAATACTTAGGTATTTAAGGACTAAGGTATTCCTTTACACAAGCCTCATTGTTTTCCCTTGGCGTTCTTGCCTATAATATACACAGCTGTGCTGTGAAATAACACAAGAAACAATTAATCAGTCAGAAATGTTGGACAATTTGTTTAAAGAGCGCTATAATAATATATTACAATAGCGTTAAAGTAATTGTTAGCGTTTATATTTTTACAATTTATGCTTATTTGATGAGATAATAGCAGTAGTAATAAATGATTTTTAATACTTGATCTCAAACAATCTGTTTATTAAGTAAGTGTGCGGCGATTCCTTCTGTTGGCTCGTGTACTGTTGTGCGACTGCTTCGATTGAGAGAACAAAATTGCGGCCGCGCAAAATTTTTCTCTCGCAGAGTTTCTCATTTCATTTGATGGCCCAAGAGAAACAAGAGAGAACCGGATTGCAATATACCATAGCAAAGAGACGAGTCATGTTGTATGGCATAAAGGAATGTATTAACTACCATGATTAGTCAATCATCCTTCATGCTCTCAAAAGAAGACACGGTCAGACCCCGTGCCAATTAGACTCCAGGTAAGGCTTGTATCACCTTAATTATTTGTTACTTGTTGCTCCCTAAGAAAACATGAACTGAAGAAGCTCGGACACCATAACTCCAGAAACTTTAGCCGTGAACATCGTTGAATGACAGATGAACGAGATAAACATTAACGAGTTCTATTCACCCCCCTTCCTCTCAGACAATAACAACGACACAACGAATTTTGTCTCTGACCTTGAGTATTCCATACAGCAGTACAGCAGTACAGTTCCCTTATAGTATCCCTTTGTTATGAAACGTTTTAGGCTCTTTGGTACCATAGAGTTATCAGAAGGTGAATATATGTGCACGAGAAATTTACATAGCTGTATTTTGGACAAGAAATATTGTTACATTTAGTTTCGACCTTTTCACGACAGGAATGTCGTCTCGAATTAACAGTGTATTCTAAACTTTCGAAGTACTATTTATTCAGTGGATCAAGACCTTAAAGTACAATTGACGGAACCCGTGGAAAGATGTTCAAAGTGATAAACTCGACCATTTAATCCATCCTTACAAGTGTTCGTAATTTTCGAGACCGCTTGGAGCCAAGCAGCCCTCCCTCCGGATTGTCCTCAACGAAAGCTCTATCTCAAAAACTCTCTCTGGCATTCTGGCACTCTCTAAATCAGTTGCGGTAGCCTTGACCTTTTCAATATCCGTTGAGTACATTAACTACTCAAGGACGCTAACTGAGGAATTCTGCTTACTATCCGCCACACCCCGGACGACTGTTTAGGGCTGATCGTTTGTTTGTTATCCGACCAGGATTCGGAGAATTCCTTTTGGAAGAAAGACTCATTTTAGTAGAAAAGCTATCGCTGAGCTTGAATCCACTTTATAAAACAGTCAATGATGGCATTTTAATCACTTTTGAAATTGTAGGCAAATCTGAGTGCCGCGTCCGGTGCGAAGTATCGGAAGAAAGCACGTGATGGGGAATTCGAGTTTCAATTTAACGGTGGTCAATTTCGCGTTCAACGAGCGTAGAAGTTTGTCGAAGGTAAAACAGATCTCACCAGAATCACTTTGATGACGTTGGTACATTTCCTTATTCACCTGTGGTGAAAGATTGAATGGGGATTATACTTAGTTAATAGGATTTAAATGAGTTGAAGAGCTCAGAACAAGCTAGCAGCCAACGATATTACTTACTCTAGTGACGTATATACAACTGCATCTCCGTTTTTCTCGTGAGCATCATCTCTGATAGTTTAAACTGGTGTAACCGGAAACATTTTTTACCAATGAGGCCAGACATTTGGCGTCTACAAGAAGCACATGGATACGATTCAAAGTGACCTCACAATATTCACCACATCCGGCCGTGGGCGTGAATTTGATGTAAAGGAACTGGGTCGAGATTAATCCGCTGTCCACAGGAACTCGGTCTTGACGAGTTCGAAGAAAATCAACAACATGATTTATAATTCTGCGAATGAATCGAGCAGTCAGTCCTATCCTGCCTAGATCTTCTGAAGGAATGCTTTCTCGCGAATAATAATTTAATTGAAAGGATAAATGGAAGTCGGCTGTCGTGTCGTGCGTGGTCCCGACTGGAAATGGGGAAATCAAGATGGCGGCGAAGGCCATGTAGGTACGGTGGTCGTCGTTGGCCGCAGCGGTAGTGTGTCTTCACCGGACAAAACTGTTGTTGTTCAGTGGGACGGCGGAACGAGGACTAACTACAGATGTGGATATCAAGGAGCGTTTGATCTATGTTTGCTTGATAACGGACCAGTTGGTAAGCTTGTGATTTTAATAAGCTGAAGCTTAAGCTTGAGTTTATTACGTTAAGTTAAACATGTTTAGGCACCGATAATTCGATGTCAGTTGGCTACATGTAATATAAAGCTTTTATATTCTATCTGCACGACATATTAATGATGCAAGTGATAAGACTTATGAAAGGCTTTTATCAACAGAATTTTCAAACAACAGAAAAGAAGTAGAAACTAAAACGCCACACACTTGAAAAGGAAACCGTAATTTATGTTTCACGTAGATTGGTTGTGGAAGAAATTGTTAAAATTACTGGTTTTGCTTCAGTGTTTTTCGTCGTTAGATGAACGAACCGGAAAATTCTATTTTTAAAGTTTCTCAGAAGTTTTAACGCACATTCTTGGTAAATCTATGGAAAGGGATTAACAATTGTACGTAATGTACTCATTGCCTTGTATGGCTTTGGAAAACATTCGATACTTGAGCACCTTAAAATTAATTGGACCTCAACTTAATTGGATTTTCTCTTTTCTGAAACAAGTATCAGCCATGAGGCTGAGTGACAGGAAGGTTTTCAGTTCATTTGCATGCAATTTGATATTGCCATAACACCATCATGGTCTGTGCCATTCATTCTTCTGAATTTTGTTTTGATTTTGATGGGTTTAGTATTTAAGAAACAGAGAACTTGTACCGTGTCTCTAATGAGTTTAAGTATAAATCTACTAGCATTCCATCACAAATGATAATAATAATAATAAAACACGTAAATAGTTGACACAATTACCGGTAACCCAGTAGTTTACATTGTGGGCTATATAAAAAAAAAGTAAGAGTGAAAAAAAAAAAAAAAATATTTAGTTAAAAAATGTTAAAATATTGAAGAAGTTAAAATATAATACAGCATGTACATAAAATGTATTTGGATATATTACAAGACATTTTCAAAATGTTCTAGAGACGGTAAAATGTTCATGGTCTGAATTACTTTGTAAAAAGTTGTTCACTAAAAGTTTAATGTCTAATGTTTTAATGTCTAATGTTTAATTTCACTAAAAGTTAAATGCCGTTCTCTGATTGGCTAAAAATGACTAGTACATTTATACTAAAACAACTAGATTATTTGCTCTCGATTTCTATGCGTGACAGTTAAATCGGGCTGCGCCCTTGTCAGTTATCATGCATGCAGTAGAAACCTTGAGTTCATAATCCAATTGTTTAATAGAAACATGTTGGAAGCTTGGGAGAATGAGAAATGCTTTGGGAACACAAGCCGTTAGACAAGTGTTTCCACAGCTTTTTGGAGTTCTCCCAAACTTTCACAAGTGTTTCTATAACTCAATAGAAACATGGAGAACATGTTTTCTATTTCTTTTAGGAAATACCGTGATAAAAAAAAAAAACAATTTGTCTACTTTGATGATCAAAATGTAAATTCTCTTCACCCACGCCATCATTACATCGACACCTTGTGCTAGTTCTGTGTTTTTATTGAGTTTTAATTGTGTGCCAAAATTTTTTGGAACATTTAAATCAAGTCTAGTTTTGCTGGCAATTTGTGAGCAAATGTTTGCCCAAGTCAAGCCATGCTGATCTCATAGCCTCAATTTTAGACTACAGTAGTTTATGAATAATTAATTCTAGACTTGCAGCGAAGTTAAATGGCAGTATCTAGACCTACATGTAGGTCACCGCCTCCCTAAACAATGTGTCAAGTGGCTATGAATACTCAAGGCTGCGGGCTAAGAAAAATTATGAGGGGCCTAAAATTTGCTGACTGTGAAATCCCAGGTGCCCCACACTTAAGCTTATATGAAAAAGGTCAGTTTTTCCAGTCACCAGAAGGCAAAAGTAGAGCACAGCCCTGAATAAGACTATTTACTGTTAAGTGAACTTAAGTTGACCCATGTTTGTTGTCCTGCCTCTCTCCCCACCCCTCCCCCTACGATTGTACCTGAGTGTCTAACAACAGGATTGTTCCATTTACCAGGTGTAATACACACTAATGTGTCCTGTAGTGAGTGTAAGAAGCAATCAGTCGAAGGCATTCGCTGGGAATGCAGTGACTGTGTGAACTTCAATATGTGTAGCTCATGTTATATGAACGACAAACATCCGCTGGATCATGTATTTAATAGAATTGAAGCTCGTGGTAAACCAGGGTAAGTTGTTTTAAGAGTATTTAGAAATATTTACACGTTCATGTAACATTGTATGTTGAATTGTTGATGCAGGGAAATCATCATAAAGAGAAACTCTTTTCTTACTTTGTCATCAACAAATATTTTTTTGCAGTAGAGAAAGGTCTACTAGGTAATAGAACAACTAAGGAAAATAATCATTTCGAATGAATAATCTTTTTAAAAGGTATACTTCACTGGCAAAAAATAATGATGCACTTTTAATTAAAGCCAATTATTAAAAAAAATGTGTAAATGTAAATCTTATTTATTATATAGTGGTCATGCACTTACATGTAGCTATACAAGCACTAAGCCTAGCTAGTTTACAGATATGCCACTGAAACAAAGGAAACAAATATTTCAAATAAAAATCCCAACTGGCAGGAGACAGACCAGTTGGCTACTTACAAAGTGTGACTGAGGATTTGAACTCAGGACTACCAAGAAACAAATCCTGCTAGTAGCAGGGTGGAGACCTTGAACTCAGGACCTCCGGATTACAACACCAGCGCCTTAAACCACTCGGCCATGCTGCCTCCGTTGGTAATTCTTGATCTCTCTGTGCTTCCATGTATGTACCAGGGGATATCTTATAGCAACTAAACTGGTTATAGAAAAATATTATGTCAAGGATATCCACGTTAATTCAAATCTTCCTGATGGTGAGCATGCTGATAACAAAATACATACTTGTACATCATCCAAGTTTAAAAACCAGTTTGCCAGTGGTACAGCTGCAGTGATCATGTTTCTGGTTAATTAAGCCTCTATTCCTTTTTTGTATTTTAACAGGGTTTATGTTGGTAGAAGACTTGGGAAAAGCAAAGTTGAGGCCAAAGGAATATTTCGTGGAGCACAGGTCATGAGAGGGCCTGATTGGGACTGGGGAAATCAGGACGGAGGGGAACAGAGTGTTGGTCAAGTTTTGGAAGTGAGGGGATGGGAGACGGAGAGTTTTCGAAGTGTAGCATGTGTGATGTGGAAGCCTGCAAGTACAAATGTTTACCGTGTTGGCCATAAAGGCAAGGTATGCTTGCTAATGAAAGATGAAGGATAAAAAATGGTGTATTCTTTTCTGCTTGTGTTGTATTTGTGACCTAAGACTGGATCAGATGAGATTGACTTTGGAGGAGAGTTTGGAAAGAGGAAGATTATGATTTTTTCAACCACCACTAGATATTTTCAGGTTTAATGAGCTTTTCTACCAGCAAAGACTACAGTATGATTGACTATAACTGCAGAATTTCAAGCAGTTTCAAATTTGATAAGAGAGAACTCTGTCTCTTATTCTTTTGTTATCTCAGTAGTCTTTTTGCTTTTCTGATTCACACTATAAAGTATAAAATTGTGACCGGATTTCACACAGAACAAGTGATCCCAAGCCCTTGTTACAATAGGCCCATCAAATTTTTGTTCAATAAATTTTTTGTTGTTTATATTTGTCATTACATGAACTCACTACTAACAGTACAGACCTGTATGTCTACAGATTTCATAGTTACTTGCCTTTTCAGGTGGATCTAAAATGCATTTCTGATGGTTCTGGAGGTTTCTACTATAAGAACCACTTAGCAAAGCTTGGACAGAATCCAGAATCTCTGATCATTCCTTCAACAAGCAATCAAGCATCTAGTTTAGCTGTTAACACTGTACCATTTGAAGTTGGTGAAAGAGTACGAGTGACATTGGATGTGGCTACTCTGAAGGACTTACAGGAAGGTCATGGTGGATGGAATGATAAAATGGAAGAGGTACTCTGAGAACAGTTGACATTTTCTGTTCTTCATCCTAACTGACTCTACATCCCTGGCTGATTTAATCACTGACTGACCAGTGGGCTACATTCTGAACCTAATGACTGGTTGATTAACTGACTTTGCATCCACCAACTGACTATCTAATTGACTGATTTAGTTGTTTAATTAATGGATGGTTAATGTGCTCAATTGGCACTGTGGGTGTGTGAGTGAACGACTGAATAAACAACTGACAACCCGCCTGGACGAGCCTTCTTCTTATAGGACTGTATTTGATAAACTTCTATGAGACCGTACACAACAAACTTGCATGATAGAAAACATGACAGTTCAATCGACCATGAGGTTTCAACTAACTGAACAAACTGTGCATGACAAATATGCTAATGAGCTAAACAAGTCAAGCGTGTCCACCACCTGATCAACTAACCAAATGAATGGCTGACTGGCTGAAAGACAGAGATCAATTGATGGATCTACTGACTGACTGATGGACTAAATACACATCAGCAACAACATTTAACAATAGATTTTATTCATTAATGTTTTCCAGGTTATTGGTCTTATGGGTACAGTTCATAGGATCACTGAGCGAGGTGATGTTAGAGTACAGTACCCTGGCTTTGCCAACAGATGGACGTTTCATCCAGCCTCTCTCACAAAGGTAATTGTGCAGAGTGATTCGTGTGAGTAAACAGTGATAAAACAATGGGAAGATGCATGCAATTGATACTCAATTTCTGACTTCCAGTAACTGTACAAATGTAGATTAGGTAAAGTCTGCATAAAAGCCAAGTGGCCCATCAGGCTGGAGCTTATCTCAGTTTATGTAACATGAAGTGACTAGGAATACATGTATGGGATGCTAGTCTATCACAGGGTTACCTCCAGTATTAAATTTGCCAGTATTCATTTATACACCTGGGTGGAGAGAGGTAGTGTGAGAGTTAAGTGTATTGCCCAAGAACACAACACAATGTCTCAGCCAGAGCTCAAACCAGAACCGGTCAATCCGGAGTCAAAATAGCATGCTAACCATGAGACCACCATGCCTTCCACTCCAGTGACTTTAATTTTCTTTTTTTCTTCATTCCTAAGGGAATCAATTTAAATAAATAAATAAATAAATAAATAAATAAATAAATAAATAAAAATTTCCAAAATATATGTAGTTACGTACTGTAGAGAGGTGTTGAGAATCAAAAGAAACTTAATAGTACAAAAAGTACTAAAATAATAAAATAAAATAAAAATAATAGTACAAAAAGTACTTAAAATTACAGCAAACAGAAAAGAATATACATGTAATTTATCATGCATTTGAGCCTGGATCTACCTTACAGTGTTCATGTATGTCTGTATTACGTTAAACATTACATTTAGGTTGACGAGTTTCATGTTAATGACAAAGTGCGTGTAATGAAAGATAAAGAATTAGTCAAGAAACTACAGGCTGGGCATGGAGAGTGGGCCAATGAAATGATTGTGGTAAGTATTGTGATATCTGTGCTGGAAAATTCTGATAACTGACCTGCTACATTGTAGGTGTTGTGTTGTGGTAAAGATAAAGTCTGGGCCAGGCCAAGTGGTCTATACAGCTGGAGCTTATCCTGGTTTCTGTAGCATGATACAACTAGGAGTCTTTCTACTCCCTACTGGATGAGATGCTAGTCCATCTTAGGGTTATCCCCAGCATTAAATTCACTGGTACCCGTTTATACACCTGGGTGGAGAGAAGCAATGTGAGAGTAAAGTGTATTGTGTTTAGAACTTTTTGGATGGACTTCTTATTGACAGAAATATATTTTTACTGTTTTGAAGTCTGTTAAATTTAAAGTCTGTCTTTAGCCTTGGGGAGCATAGCAGGTCTTACATGTAACTCCACGCAGCCACAATAAGGGTCTTTCTACTATTCCCTACAGTGTAGATGAATTGGTTGGTCTGTGATGTTGTATTGATATAAAATTATAGCCAATCTAAATTATGCCTCAATAGGCCTTAGACAAAGTTGGTAGGGTCTTAAAGATTTACTCCGATGGCGATGTTAGAGTAGCCATAGCAGACCATGCGTGGACTTTCAATCCAGCAGTACTTGTAAAGGAAGCATCTGCAGCCACGCCTACAGATCAACAGCCACGACAATCCACATCACAGCGTGGAGAGCTCCAAGGGATCCTGCAGCCATCCCCTTCATCGACATCATCTTCTGCACAACGGCAGCAGCATCCATATTCAACAGCTGAAGAACCAGGACAATCTCAACGGTCACAAAGGGAAATAGGTAAAACTTGTTACCTTTTAATAACCGAGTTTGAGGTCCATACTATAAGATATGGACCACTTTTTTTCCCCTTTGATTTACATGTATGGCCCAAGTGTGAAGGACACCGGCCATAAATCGAAAAGGGAAAAATGAGGATCCTTAACTTACATTAGGAGCCGAGAAGACAAGGTTGATAAGATATTTGTTATGTCAAGCTACTGTGTGTCAGGAACGATTATTTTCTATTCATGCGATAAGGCTACAAATTTTTAGCAAACATCGAAAGTAAAACAAGTCAAATTGAAGTGGTTGTAAGTCATTAGCATGTTTTAATAGTACACAAATGTGTAAAGTAATTTTTTAAGAAAGTTTCAAACTTTTACTTACTTGGCAATAAATCATGAAACATTTTGGCAACAAAAACAGCTGAAATTTTACTGAGTGTGCCTACTAACAGTAGAATACAGCCTGCTAAATTGACCAATTACAGTTTGTACTTGCTTATACAACTGTTATCCCAGCCAATCTCTATCGTTGTCATAAACTTTTACTATTGAGTTTCAGTGATAGGATTGAGTTCAAAGTTCTTATTTTCATGCTTGTTTTCCTTGTAGACCAATCGCTGAGTTCTTTGTTAGATCACCTGCGTATTAACAGCTCAACTGACATTGGATCGATGATAATCAGCGAAGCAGGACGAGGAAACTTGGACAAACTTAAAGAACTGTTACATATTCATCCAGATAAGGTATGATACAAGTTTCAATTACTGCACGGTTTGTATGGGTGATAGAAAACCTGGAAAGTCATGGAATTTTGTAGTTTCATTTTCCAGGCCTGGAAAGT